CCCTCCGACAGTGCGGCACTCCCTCAGCACTGACCCTCCGACAGTGCATTGCTGTCAGGCTGGGTTAATTCCCTATATGTGCAAAGTAGCCCTGTGGTTTTTAGCTATTGATCCTGGTCAGTATTTATTCCTCAACAAGCATCATGAAGTATAGGTTCTCTGGCCTGTCATATGTACAATCTGCAAGTTGTCTGTTATGCCCACAATAAAGTTCTGAGTTACCTGAGGAAATATGTGAGGGTGTTCAAATGGAGAATAAATACCAGCATGACCTGTTTCTGCAAATAAAGCAGTGACTGGGGTTTGTGATGTGCGGAGGTGCTTTAAAATGTTGCATGATGTAGCTTATCTGCGGATCGTTCTGAATCACTGGATGTATTAATGTGGATCGTCTTGTGCCCTCAGGTGCTGGCAAGTCTCTGGTTGGAGTGACAGCAGCCTGCACAGTGCGGAAGAGATGCCTCGTCCTCTGTACCTCTGCTGTGTCTGTGGAGCAGTGGAAGTCTCAGTTCAAAATGTGGTCAACCATTGACGATAGCCAAATCTGCCGCTTCACCTCAGACGCCAAGGACAAGCCCATTGGTTGCTCGATTGCCATCAGCACGTACTCAATGTTGGGGCACACAACCAAACGTTCCTGGGAAGCAGAGCGAGTGATGGAGTGGATGAAAAGTCAGGAATGGGGTTTGATGCTGCTTGATGAGGTGCACACAATTCCAGGTAATGACAGTGGTACAGGACACAGCCTATCAAAGGGCAGCCACAGCCAAAGGATGACGTGTGCAGTAAAGCAGCATTTCGATCAGCGCAAAGTAACTGAGTGCAGCAGTTTTCACTCTCTTCTGTGGGAATGCTGCATGGAAATTTAAGCATAGCGTGCTTTGGGGATGCTTTGTGTAATGGGGAGAGAAGACTGTTGTTTACAACACAGAAAGAGGCTATTTGGTCCATCATGTCTGTGCCTGTCAACAAAGATGTGATTGCGCTATTCCTATTTTCTAGCTCTTGGAGGATTTGGCGTTGCAAGTTATGAGAATTTCTGACACAACCAATCTGTCAGGCCATGAGTTCCAGACTCCCACCACTCTGTGTTAAAACAATTCTCAACTCTGCTTTCAGCCTTCCACCTCTTGCCTTAACTCTATGTCTCCAGGCTGTTGACCCCTGTACTGATAGAAGAAGTGCCTTCCTAATCATCTTATCCATGGCTCTCATAATCTTGTACATCTCTATCAGGTCCCTTCTCAACATTCACTATTCCAAGGAAAACAATTATAGCCTATTCAATCTTTCCTCATAGCTCAGACCCTCCAGTCCAGGCAGCATCCTGCTAATTCTCTTCTGCACTCACTCTCATGCAGTCAGATCCTTCCTATAATGTAGTGACCAGAACTGCACACAGTACACCAGTTGTAGACTAACCAATGTTTTGTACAGTCCCAGCATAACCTCTCTGCTCCTGGATTCGTGTCTTGGCTAATAAAGGCAAAAATCCCAAGTACCTTCTTAACCATTTTATTTCCCACTGTGCTACCATCAGGATTTGAGGATATGCATGTTAATGTACTTTTCAGGATTCTACCATTCATTGTGTAATCCACGGCCTTGTGTAGTCCCCCCCAAAAGTGCATTGCCTCTTGCTTTTGGTTTGCATTACATTTGCCAATATTCTGACCAGTGCCATTCTACCAATTTTCTTGTTGTCTGTGAACTTCTCAATCATACCTCCTACATTTCAGACATATCATTAATGTATACCACAACCAGAAAGAGCCCCAGCACCAAGTCCTGCAGTACCCCCCTGAAATTAGATTTGCAGTCACAAAAACGTCCCCTGTACCATCACCCTCTGCCTCCTGCCTCTCAGCCAATTTTGAATCCAATGTGTTACTTTGCCTTGGATCCTATGGGCTCTTACTTTCTTGGCTAGTATGCCATGAAGTACCTTAACAAATGCCTTGTTAAACTCCATGTGGACACATTAAATGCATTGATCTCATCAAACCCCAAGTTACCACCTCAAAAAAGGCTCTACCAGATTTGTCACAAATGACCTTCACTTAACAAATCCAGGCTGACTATCACTGATTAAATCATTGTCTTAACGCAATTGTATTCTAACCTTCAGAATTCTAAGTCATAACTTCCCCACCAATGAGGTGAGACAGACTGGTCTGTTATATTCTGGCTTATTTCTTCTTCCCTTTTATAATAGCAGGACAACATTAACCGTCCTCTTGGACCTCACCTGGGGTCAGAGAGGATTTGAAAATTATTTCCAGGGCACCAGCTATGTCCTCCCCTGCCTCCATTTGAGTAAAATTAAACTTTCTTCAGTTTAGAGATTTTCTTCCTGGTCCATCCTTATCTTTTCCAGCAACCATCCTAGATCTAACTGAGTTACGGTCACTGTTTCTAAAATGCTCCCCTCCTTGATTGCCATTATTACTGAGCTCATATCTAGCTCTTAGGTCCAGAACTGCCCAATGCCTCAGGAATCTAAAGCCCTCCCTCCCTCCTGCACCATGACATCAAACCCATATTGTGATCCTTTCTAGCACCAGGAACCTGAGTGTGCTGCTCATTCACTGACTGATGTATATGTACTCAGCTTCTGTGTTGATACTGATGATCCAAGTTGTTCATTCGTTCCAGCAAAAATGTTCCGTCGTGTTCTGACCATTGTACAAGCTCACTGCAAACTGGGCCTGACAGCCACGTTGGTCCGGGAAGATGACAAAATTGTCGACCTGAATTTCCTCATTGGACCAAAACTCTTTGAAGCCAACTGGATGGAGCTGCAGAACAGTGGTTACATTGCAAAAGTGCAGTGTGCTGAGGTGAGTCTTCCACACACAGTTAGAGGAGTCAGTACAGTTTATATAGACCTGAAAGGATTAATACCCATTTGCGTACAGTAAACACCACCCACTGAGATAACGTAATGTGGACTCGGTAGCATGTGGGAGACAGACCTGAGATCTGATCTTCCCAACAGTCCTTGTAATGTAGAGCCGAATTTTATAACTTACAAATAGCTGAGGAGACACAATAAAGTACATCAAATTTAATTTACAGGACTCTTCTTATTAGACAAGCAAGCGGCTCTCATCCCACACACTAGACCACATAAGCCCCTAAAGAACCTTCTTAGAAGGTTATGGATGGTAGCACCCAAAAATACAGTGACATTGGCAATACGAAGTATGCTGAGGTCTGCTCCCTCATTACGGAGAGCTAAGCTGCAAACATACAAGTCAGGAGCATTGAGCTCCTTGAGCCTGCTCTGCCATTTGATAAGACTGTGGCTGAACAGATTGTGTCCTGAACTTTCCTTTCTACCCCTTAACTCAGACCTAACAAAAACATTCAATGATCTACTCCCACCACTGTTTAGAGAAGAGAGTTCCACAGACTAACAATCCTCTGAGAGAAAATAGTAATAATCTAGAGAACCTTAAATGGGAGACTCCTTATTTTTAACCCATGTCCCATCATTCTTGTCTCTCCCATAAAAGGATCCTTCCAGCTCCACCCTGCTAGTTTCCCTCGGGATTTTATAGGTTTCAATAAGATCACCTTTCTTTCTTCTCAACTCCAGTGGGGTACAAGTCCAGCCTGCTCAACCTTTCTTCATAAAATAACTGTCTTCCCAGGAATCACATGACCTCACTAGAACAAATTATAAGTAATTTTTCTGAGGTATGTGCAGACTGTTATCTGCGTGTTGTTTTAGTGTAATCCAGGACAGTACAATTGTGGAATAGTTATGTTAAGGGACTAATAATGCAGAGAGCAGGCGTTTGTATTCCACTGTGTTCACAGTCAGTGTCACCCAGTTGCTGCTTTATTTTCATTCACACTCAGGATGTGGATGGACATCACAAGCAAGGTCAGAGTTTATTGCCAATCCCCGAGTTGCCCTGAGAATGTGTGGCTACAAAGGACTGCTTGATTCAACTGAATGTCTTGCTAGGGAACGTTTGATGGAAGTTCAAACTCTGAACGGTGTTGGTGTGGGACTGGAGTCACATAGATGTACAGACTGGATAAGGACATAAGGTTTCCTTCCCTTTGAAGTTTGACCATGAATTTTATACAGACAGACATAGGAGCCTGTAAATTAGGAGCAGGACTAGACCGTTTGTCTCCTTGAGTTTGCTGTGCCATTGAATAAGATTGTGGCTGAACTGACTGTGGCATCAGCTCTGCATTACGCACCTCCCTTGATAACCTTTTAATGTAAAGTTAATTCTTTGGCCAGTGTAATAAGAGACACCTCACACATTTGAGCTGCCTCCTACCCAGAGTTGATTCCGTCAGGAGAAAGGATTGAGATCAGCATTATAAAGAGCTAGCAGAAAGACACATTCATTGAATCTCTTCTGGGCTGGTGCAGGACTGTCAGATCGGCAGATAGTAATGAAAGGAAAATGAGTTCTCCTGATCTCCTGGGCCAAAATTCTCAACACTGTCACCAAAGTAAATTAACATTTCACTTCCTGTTTACAGAGTCTTGGTGTAGTTAGCCACCACTTCTGTTAACAAAACAATGACCACACTTCAGTGTGATGGTGTCAACTGCCCTGAGGATGTGATGAGATTGCCAGTCAGGGTTCAGTGGGTAACACACCTACTTCTGTATTCTTTGTTTAGGTCCTACTCCAGGTGCCATTATCTAGTGGGTTTTGGCAGGGATGCCTGAGGCCAAATGGAACTAAGCAACTGATGATGGCTATATGTGAATTGAGGATAACTGGGTGAGAATTTGACTGAGTGTATGAGGCATATTTGGAGAATGTGCAAGCTGATAATCTAGTTAGTATTGCTATTGTTTATGGGAACTATGTGTAAATTGGCTGTTACACAATTCCTACATTATGACCGTCATGAACAACTCTAGAACTGGGTGCATAGTCTGACAATAAGGGCCAGACCATTCAGGAAAGATGTTAGGAAGTACTTCTATACACAAATGGTGGGAGAGGTTTGGAACTCTCTTCCACAAATGGCAGTGGATGCTGAATGAGTTGTTAAGTTTAAATCTGAGAGAGAGTGAGCAACAGTGTTATGGGATATGGGCCAAAGGCAGGTAGATGGAGTTAGGCCACAAATCAGCCATGATCTCATTGAATAGCAGAACAGGCTCAAGGGGCTGAATGGCCGATGCCTGTTTCTATGTTCAACTTCATTGTACCCCATTGACTGCAGAGCATTTTGGATATGCTGAGGTTACACAAGGCACTATAGAAATGCTAGTTGTCTTTGAGGTAGCTGGTCATAGAGTCATACAGCACGGAAATAGACCCTTACATACATCCGACCATACATCGCAATCTGACCTAGTCTCATTTGCCAGCATTTGGCCCATATCTCAGTAAACCCATCTTATTCACATATTCACCCAGATGCCTTTTAAATGTTGTAATTGTACCAGCCTCCACCACTTCCTCTGGCAGCTTGTTCCATACACGCACCACCCTCTGTGTGGAAAATGTTACCCCTCGACTCCTTTTTATATCTTGTCCCTCTGACCTTAAATCTATGCCAGGCAGCAATAGAGGAGCAGGAAGGCTGACGTTTTGGGCCTAGACCCTTCTTCAGAAAATGAAGGTCTAGGCCTGAAACGTCAGCCTTCCTGCTCCTCTGATGCTGCTTGGCCTGCTGTGTTCATCCAGCTCTACACCTTGTTATTTCAGATTCTCCAGCATCTGCAGTTCCTACTATCTCTTAAATCTATGCCATCTAATTTTGGACTCTCCCACCCTGGAGAAAAGACTTGACTATTGCCCCTATCCATGCCCCTCATGATTTTATAAACCTCCATAAGGTCACCCCTCAGCCTCCGACGCTCCAGGGGAAAAAAGCCCCAACCTATACAGCTTCTCCCTACGTTCTGATTAATCTTTTCTGCACCCTCTCCAGTTTAACAACATCCTTCTGTAGAAGGGCGACCACTGTCATTAATCTGTGTCATTCTGTGCTCAAGGCTGCACTGTCTAAGCAATAGGATGAGCACTGATGGCTTTGAGCACTCTTCTACCACCCCTCCAAACTTTTTAGATTCCTCCTCCCTGTTTATGGAAAGCTGCAATGTATGCAGTTGCTGATTACAGGTGGAGATATTCGGAAGTCGAGACTTGGTGCTGGCTTTTTGCCACTTCAAATCAGAAGTTAAACTGAGGCCCTAGCTCACTGCTCTTATGGATGTGTGACATCCCATGGTACTGTTTTGAAGAAAAGCAGGCAATTTTCTGTCCAATGCCCTGCTCAAAGTTAGCTGTCAATAAAAATCGCAAAAACAAAAGATCTGGTTGTTATCAAAATGCAGACTGTGGGAGTTTGTTCACCACACACTGGCTGTGGCTTTTCCTGTATTACAGCAATGACCGCACTTCAGGAAAACCTATTTGGCTGTAAACAGCTTTGAGACGTCAGTGGTCATTATATAAATGCAAGACTTTTCTTCTGTCCACTTGGTGTGTTGTGTAGGTCTGGTGCCCAATGTCACCCGAGTTTTACAGAGAATATGTCGCAATTAAAACAAAGAAACGGATGCTGCTTTATGTGATGAACCCCAACAAGTTCAGAGCTTGTCAGTTCTTGATTCGCTTCCATGAGCGGAGGAATGACAAGATCATAGTGTTTGCAGACAATGTATTCGCGCTCAAAGAGTATGCAATCAAACTGAACAAGTAAGTAATAGCTGGGAGTAACATCAATTAATACAGAAGGCTCTGCTCCTGGCAGACAGAACGGGCATGTGCATGTTATTTCTGTTTCAAGTTAACAAAATAGAAGATAGCCATTCTCTGGTTCACTCCTCAGGGCAATGACTTAACCAGTTCGAGTCATGCTGCCTGGTTTAAATTTAAACAAAGCATGCTGGTTAATTGTCAGTCATTATCTAACTGGTAGATTCTGTATGACACCTGTACCAATCAGAGTCAACTTGTCAACGAATGAGCACCTTTTTCTAATATCGTATAAAATTTGATCCTGTTGTACACTAGTCTGCTTGCAAATTATCCTGATGAGTGCAAGATGAAAAGCTTTGCTCAAAGTAGACATTATTTTCAATGCCCAAATAATGGCTGAGTGAGCTCTGTGTACAGCCTCAAAAAATCTGGCTCAACATGAAACCTATCTCGCTAAAATGCAGTGACCAGAGAGTTAATAAGGCTTAAGAGATGGCCTTTGGCTGTGACAGTGAAGATGGGTAAGGTATGAGGGTGGTGGTGAAAGTGTTGGGGTTGTGGGTGCGGGAGATGAGACTATGGAAATTGTATAGGGCTCTCACTGGGTGGGGGGGTGGATGTGTTGGAAATTGTGTAGGGTTCTCATTGGGAGTTGTGGAAATTGGGCAGGGTTCTCACTGAGGGGAGGTGGAAATTGGGCAGGGTTCTCTCTGCTGGTTTTTAAACATGGCTGGTATTTCAGGTTGCCTTTGTTGCAAGAATCCCCAGCAAGTTGTGCTTTCTGCTGTTCAGGCACTTTGTGGTTTTGGGCCAAAGTGAAGTGGTTGGGCTGAGGTTTAGAATTACTCATGTCCCTGTGTATTTCAATTTCAGACCTTACATTTACGGCCCAACATCACAGGGGGAGAGGATGCAGATTCTGCAGAACTTCACTCACAACCCAAAAATAAACACCATCTTTATCTCCAAGGTAAATGGGGAAAGAAGCTGGGTGTTACTGCTCGGAGTTGATGGGTGTGTTGCTGTGGGTGGGTGCTCTGGGTGTGTGAAATGTAGGTGGTGCCCCGTGTTGGTGAACAGCTAGTTTTTTACCATTCACTACGCTGTTGGTGAGATAGTGAATGTGAAGTGACTCTGATAGTCTGATCTTTGATAGGTTGGCGACACCTCTTTTGATCTCCCTGAAGCCAATGTGTTGATACAGATATCATCACATGGAGGATCCAGGCGGCAGGAGGCCCAGCGATTGGGCAGAGTCCTGCGGGCAAAGAAAGGTGAGTGAGGGGGCTTGCTTGCCAGTGTGCAGGGTTGGGTTTCTTCAATTCATTAATGAGAAGCAAGCTCCACTGGCTAGATGAGCATTTATTATCTGTCCCTAATCCCTGAAGAAGGCGGTTGTGAGCTGCCTTCTTGAACTGCTCCAGTCCATATGCTGTAGGTAACTCACGATGCTCTTAGGGAGGAAATTCCATGATTTTGACCCAGCGACTCTGAAGGAACGGCGATATATTTCCAAGTCAGGATGGTGCATGGCGTGGATGGGAAATTGCAGGGGGTGGTGGTCCCCTGTATCTGAGAAAGGGTCACTCAACCTGAACGTTAACTCTGATTTCTCTCCACAGATGCTGGTAGACCTGCTGAGCTTTTCCAGCAATTTCTGTTTTTATTTCTGATTTACACCATCTGCAGTTTTTTCGGTTCCCATGTATCTTCTGCTCATGGACTTCTAGATGGAAGTGGACGTAGGTTTGGGGAGTGCAGTTTAAGGAGCAAGGAAAGATGGTAGACTTCCTTCCCTAAGGGACAATTGTGTACAGAATGGGTATTTACAAATCGACAATGGTTGCATGATCACCGTGAGGCTAACTTTTTTATTCTAGATTTTTATTCGAGTTCAACACCTGCCATGGTGCTTTCGATCGCATGTCCCAAGAGCATTAGTCTGGGTCTCTGGGTTACTAGCCCAGTGGCATTACCCCCTGACAACATTGAGAGTATATTAAGTTGGATTTGACCTGTGTTCTGTGCAGCAGACAGATTGCCACTGATGCCAGTGTTGTAGCTTTACTGGTACAATTTAATGAGGGCTGCATTTATTTCTGGAGCTCACGTCTTCAGCATGACTTATGGAATGTTGTCAAGGCCCATCACCTTTGTGATATCCAGTGCCTCCAACCATTCTTTGATGTCACATGGCATTGAATTGTGTTGGCTGAAGACCAGTAGCTGTCATGCTGGGGGACCAATGGAGGAGGCCGAGATGGATCATCCACTCAGCACTTGTGGCTGAAGATTGTTGCACACTTTATCTTTTGCACTGATGTTTGGGTATTCTTTGAGCTTCCTGCGCCAGTGAATTGTTGAATTGTTCACCACAGCTCACGTCTGGATGTGCCAGGACTAAAAAAGTATTATGTGTGCATCTGAACTCTCTCTGTGGCTTTACTCTTATGACTGCAGCTTTCACATCATTTGTGACACTGAGTTTAGCAAGTTAACTTAACATTCAGTGACATGAGGTCTATAGAATCATTTGACTCCGTGTTAACTCTTATTCTGTCCAAAGATGCTGCTAGACTGGATGTGTTTCTCCAGCACTTTGAATTTTTGTGACAGAAACAGAAATTGCTGGACAAGCTCAGCAGGTCTGGCAGCATCTGTGAAGAGAAATCGGAGTTAATGTTTTGGGTCTGGTCACTGGGCCTGCTCAGCTTGTCCAGCAATTTCTCCTTTTGTTTCTGATTTATACAGCATCCGCAGTTCTTTCGATTTTTATTGAATTTTTGTAACTTCAATTAGAACTGATTCTAATTTAGTTGCAAGTCAGGTGCTTGAAGCTAGCCCATCCATTTAGAAACCACAGAGCTTATGAGACTCATTTGTTATGTTCTGCCTGATTCTCACGAGTTTGCCCTGGATCTTGTGGTGCCTCACAGGGATGGTGGCTGAGGAGTACAATGCCTTCTTCTACTCCTTGGTTTCTCAGGATACACAGGAGATGGCCTACTCTGCAAAGAGACAGAGGTTCCTGGTGGACCAGGGCTACAGTTTTAAGGTGAGTAGAAAAAAGACTGAGTTTCCATCAGAGAAGGGTCAGGGTCAGGTTCAGAAGCATTGAAAATAGGAACAGAAGTAGGCCTTTCGCCTCTGTCATTCATTATGATCATGGCTGATTATCCAACTCCATAGCTTTTTCCCATATCCTGATGATTTATCTGCCTTCCTGGTTTTGCTGCCAAAGTATATAACCTCACATTTATCCACATTATACTTCACCTGCCATGTGTTTGCCCATTCACTCAGCTTGTCCACATCACACTAAAGGCTTAAGATGGGATGTCTTGGGTTAGGATCAGGGGTCACTGATTATTTTCTTTCTTCATTTACGGGATGTGGGCCCAGCATTTATTGCCCATCCCTAGTTGCTATTGAGAAGGTGGTGGTGAGCTTCCTTCTTGAACCGCTGCAATCCATGTGCTGTAGGTAGATCGATAATGCCACGAGGGAAGGGGTTCCAAGATTCTGACCGGTGACACTGAAGGAAAGATGATGTTTCCCACGAGTTCATAAAAACAAAAGAGCTATTGCTCATTGTGGTCTGTAATGGTTTCCAGGTCACAGACTGTGATAATACAGGGGAATAGACCATCTTGGAAAGGTTCTGCATGGTGAACTTGAACATAAGAAAATAGCTTTAAAAATCAGTGCAAAAGGTTCAGGATTATCATCAACATTCGATAAGAACAAGACCCTCTGACCTGGAGAGCTGCATAACACAAAAATCTTCATCCCTTGGACAACACAGTGTGGAGTTGGAGGAATGCAGCAGGCCAGGCAGCATCAGAGGAGCAGGAAAGTTGACCTTTCGGGTCGGGACCATTCTTCAGAAATTCTGAAGAATCTGTAGAAGGGTCCCAACCCGAAACGTCAACTTTCCTGCTCCTTTGAAGCTGCCTGTCCTGCTGTGTTCCTCCAGCTCCACACTGTGTTGTCTCTGACTCCAGCATCTGCAGTTCTTGCAATCTCTGAGTGATTCATCCCTTGGACATTGTAACAGGCATTGCCTGTTCCCCACTACCTGGGCGCTATTCACCCCCAACCGCAACCCGCAGGTCTGATGCTCATTCCCATTGCCTCACTGGTCCATTTGATGGTCAGTTCATGTTTTCTAGTCACTGACTCACTGATTTCAGTTAGATGGTGGCAAGCTGTGCATGAGAAGTGTCTGATTGAACTTTCTGTCTCTCTCTCTGTCTGTGTCTTTCTCTCTCTCTGTCTCTCTCTCTCTCTGTGTTTGTGCTCTGTCTCTCTCTGTGTCTGTCTCTCTCTCTCTCTGTCTGTCTGTCTCTGTCTCTTTCTCTCTCTGTGCCTATGCTCCGTCTCTCTCCCTCCCTCTGTCTCTCCCTCCCTCTGTCTCTCCCTCCCTCT